AAAAAAAAAAAAAAAACCATAAGCATGCTCACGTACAGAAATTCTGGTATTGCACTTTATATATCATCGTGTTGCACTTTGCACACCAATACATTGCACTTTATCACACAACATGTTGATTGTTGCACATTATAAAACTACCGTCAAAATATTACATAATATAAATCTACATAATACTTTGATATCCATAACATCATCTACACACACANNNAAAAAAAAAAAAAAAAAACATAATCATGCGCACGTACCAGAATTCTGGTATTGCACTTTATATATCATTACGTTGCACTTTACACAACAATATATTACACTTTATAACACAACATATTGCACACACGCAAACATGAATTATGCTAGTCGATTGAATAATATTAGGTGGTTAAATATCAGATTTTGTGTTTCAACTAAACGAAATAACTAAATGTGCCGAATAATATAAAAAATATTACCGATTTCTATTTTATATTTTTTTATGAAAAATAATACTAATTTTGTATACATAATTTTTTTTAATTGCAAGTGCACACTAGGATTACACGGATTGCATAAAATATCTATCTGATTGCACAAAATCAAACGAGATCGAAAGAACATAAATTCGTTACGAAATTGTATATTTAGGTTTGATTATTATTATTATTATTATTATTATTATTATTATTATTATTATTATTATTATTATTTTTTCAAGCTTTACATTTATATATACAATATTGTACAACTTATTTGTTAAGTTATGCATTTATTATATTTTTATTGAATTATATATTGAAATATATGAATTAATTTGGTTATAATTAATATTTTAAATTGCAAAATGGTCCCTATAATATATCTAATTTTTTTGTTTTAAAAAAAAACCACATAAATCTACATATATGAAAAATGAGATCCTGTCCTTTCACGGAAATTCCTTCCGACTGTTCGTCGCTTCCGGTCCTCGTCGCCATATCAGCACTTGCTGCCGCCGCTTGTGGAACTTCTGGCCGACGACCTTCACCATCTTGCCGACCAAATCGGTGGATAAAATGTCCGACGGCCATAACCATCACCCCTTCTGGCCGTCTGTTGGTTTCTGCCGGCGACCTCGTGATCGTAGCCCGTCTTTGACCGCGGTCGGCAGTGGTGCAACTGCGGGGCTGTGGAGGCTCGACGACCGGAATGAGGAAGCGCGTCGGCCGGGCTGGAGAGGCCCGACGGGAGGACTTCATAACCGCCTCAGTGGCTAGCGTTGGTGCAACGGCGGCCGCCGGAGATGGTGGCTGAGGACTGCCTGTCGCCCGTGCAACCGTGTGTGTGTACCTGTGAAAAAAATCTGGATGTTGTCGGGGAGAGAGAAGGGAAAGAACGGGAGAGGGAGGAGAGAAGAGAGAGGAGAGAGGTATTACAATGAATATGTGTGGGGCCTACAAATTTAATGATGGCTTAAAATTACATATTTGTCCTAAATTGTTATATTTGATCCAATAATTTTCCAGTAATTACAATAATGCCACCGCGATTTTGCCTATTTTTATTACTTTTGACTTCATCATAGCCATTAATTTTGTAGATCAAATGCTTTAAATTCATTCTTATTTCTTTCATTGTGACTCATTCTCATATGATCCTTTACCTATATACATATATATATATATACACACACATATATATAGGCTAAATTGCAAAATATAGTCAATATCTTGTACGCGGTGGCAATATTATCCACCTTCATTATGAATTTGCAATAGTAGCCAACATATCTTTAAATTTTGTGGTTATTACCCAAATTTGGCCAAGTTTGACGGCAAAATTGCAACAGATAACCAATATTCTTTTACAATGTGGCAATAATAGCCGTCAAATTTGGTCGAACATGGGTAATAACCTCAAATTTTTAAAATTTATTGGCTACTGTTGCCAATTCATAAAGAGGTGGCTATTATTGTCATTGCATGCAAGATATATGCTATATTTTGCAATTAAACATATATATATATATATATATTCAATAAAAGTATTACCGCATTTGTACTGCATTTGCAATCTTCATCATTATCGGAACCACATCAAGATCTTGAAGTTCAAAATGAAATCTTCATTGAAACCCATGTTGATTGTTCTTCATGGCATCAGAGCCTCAGGTTAACACTTTGGTTTGTGCCCTCATCTATAATACAACCTCTGGGAAGGTTCTAAAAAATTGTGAGGTAAAAGAGAGTCATATGATCAAGTATGTTTAGGAAATCCAGGGCCTTGTTCAAAATTTCATCATGACTGAACTGATTCTGATACAAGGGACGGAAATTCTGATTAGCTAGCTAGTATGGCTAGCTTGAGTAAAGGAGGGGTTAGTAATGTCATTACAACACTTCATTAGGAAATGAGCATTTTAGGAGAGGTAAAGGACATTGACAAAATTGAGGATTGGAAAACCCGATGAGGGAGTTTCTACAAAGAAGCATAACATTAGGAAATAAACTCCAATCCGAGCATGCAACTAGATAACTATCAAAGCACTTTGAGTTGGAAGGTGTTTTATGCAAAAGATCATATGTCGGAGCACACATAAGGTGAGTATCGGAAGAGAATGGTGAATATATGTTGAAAGAAATTCATGATGGATGTTGGAATGCACATCCAAGAGCGCGAGTTATCATAAAAAAGGCATTACGGGCTGGGTTTTACTGGTCAGGACTGCAAGCTAAGGCCACCAAGTTGGTGTAACAGTAGAAACGATGGCCACAACACAGACAAATCACATATCTACCTGCTAATGGAATGACCATGATGAATGCCCCAATCCCCTTTCACATTGGGAGATAGACCTAGTAGGACCTCTATCTGTTGGATCTGGACAACAGTAGTCCTTTATTGTTGCGGTGGACTACTTAACTAAGTGGGTGGAATCAGAATGCTTAGCTCGCATCACTGAGTAGATGATTCATACTCTGTTTAAAAATTTCTACTGTTATTCTGTCTGAAAATTCTAATTTTAGATAAAACAACACAATTCCAAGGAGCCAAAAATAGAGCCTGGTTTAAGGATATGGGAATCGAACAGCGTTTGGAATCTGTCGCCCATCCACAAGCAAATGTCCAGGTCAAGCTTACTGCATTCCAGTGCGACCAGACAACATGCTCTACGTGTTTCTCGTGCGACCCGTATCCCCAGCAAACTTGTCTCAGTGTTCAATGCCCCGAAGCTCGTGTACCATGCGACCTAGGCCTTCCCAGCGTGTGACCAGACCCAAAAGGCACGCCCAGTATGGCCCAGTCCGTAATCAGACGACCAGTCCCGCCCCAGTCTGCATGCAACACACCAGACCCGGTTCAGCCTAGGCACAGCGAAAGCACTCGACCAGGCAGAAAAAAGAGCCGACGACAGAAATCGAGTATAGCGGGCTGAGCAGGTATCGAACACCCTTGATTAGCAGCGAATAGTTGCGGCTGAAACCACCACTGCCGGTGCGACCATGTCTGACCCAACCTTCACAGCGACTGAGCTCCAACGAGTCCAGACAATAACCCATCGAGATCAGCGGCGGTCTGAGGCATTTTTCGAGGATCGAGAGCTAGAGCAACGGCAGACCCGAGACCTTTCCTCAAGCGTGTGGGCGCCAGCGCTACAGCAAGTTAGATCTTCGCGAGGCTGCGACTGACCGTGCCCGATCCCAAAGAGAGGTGACTTTCACCAAATCCTTTTATTTTGTGAAATTCAAATTTTTCGAGTTGTGTTTAAACAGTGTACATTATGAAAGTTGAACATTCATGGAAAAAAATTGAGATTATATTGATGTGAATGAATTGAGGAATATTTTTTTTAATTGGATCCTTGTTTGATTAGTTCGGATCTAAAAATTTGAGAAATATATATATATAT